ATGAGTGATTAATATTATTTAAATAAATAAATAATAATTATGAAAATGCTCTAGTAAATCTGTAACAAACAAAAGTAAGGAAAATAAAATTATCAGGGATAGAAATAATGGAGAGAAGAAGTTTTTTATTGTTTTTACCTGAAATATCTTAAATAAATCTGAAATTAAGCCAAAATACCGTATTATCCTTACGTCTTTCTAATTCACACAATTCATCAATTAATTCATTTACGATCATTCATAGCAAATATTTTAGCACCCTTTTTTTTCATTACAAATATGTAATTTATGATGATAATATCACTTTTTTTTTAAAATTTCAATTTTTTATGCGAAATTTGATGAGAAATCATTGAAATAAACATTCACATAGCGCATTTCAAAACAAATCAATTGTTCACTTGATATACGTGACCATTGATCAGATCATACAATATTTCTAAATGATAACTCTCCTATCCATTCATGTTCCACCTGATAAAGCCAAAATGATAAAATTGAAATCATTTCAAGGAAATCTAATCATTATCAGTATGCAATTAAAACAATAACATGATAATAAAGCAAAACAATAATATTATATAAAACAAATAGAAAGAAAAAAAAAACGTCTTCAATAGCAATTTCTTGAGAGAATTGATTAGGTATTAGATATTAGATATATATTTTACTAATTTTAAGGTTTTATTTCAAGTAAAAAAGTAAAAATATTACATGGAAGTTTTAATAGATTGCGCTAATGTCGCATCTCAAAATGAAAATAATTTCACTTTTTGCAACGAATACAAATAAAAAAAAAGTCTCATCGATTGGAAACTTTTAAATAAGGACAATAATCAGTGCGCTTTTGCGCGCTCCAGGAACTGCTGTTACAAAAGCATTCTGCAAAGCGATGCAAATAACTGTCACATTCTATGACAATGTCACTTATAACAACAATCCGATAAAATGTTACATGTGCTATTGCTAATAGCTAATAGTTTAATTTTATTAAGGTAAGGAAAAGTGAAAATGATCACCTAGAAATATCATATAAGTAATTTTAACAATGTTTAGAAAAATTCCATTGAAGTTTGATTGGAATAGAGTGTAGGAAAATGAGAGAAAAATTTTTTTTTTTTGTTAAATGTAATAGTGCAAACGGAAAAAAAGAAAAAACCACCGATACATTTTAGATGAAAAAAAAAAAAAATACAAAAATTCCTTTTAAAACTCATTATTACTCTCAACAGCTGTAATCATTGCTAATAAATAAACTTGAATTTTCTCCCTCAAATTACATTTCATTAAAATTAAAAACAATAAATTTTCATTCTTTTTTCTTGTAATTACCAGAAAAAAGAAATTTATCTATTCGAGAATTAATCAATAAATTTAAATTTTATTATTTTTTTAAGAATAATTTTTGAATAACAAATTAGCATCATAAAATGAAAATGTATAGTTGGCATCTTGAAATGTTTTTTTTTTTAAACAACGAAATTTATATTATTGCTAATTATCATCAGGATTTTAGCGCTAATTGAAATCAATCAATAAGTTTATCTTTTTCACTATACACTATCTAATTAATGATAATGGTAAATTCAAAAAAAAAAAAGGAAAGAAACGGTATATGAGTATACGGTACAGAGTACATTTATAGAGTATATGAGTATATGAGTATACAATATAGAATATATGCTATATAAGTATACAATGCAGAGTATATGTATACAGTATAGAGTATATGAGTATATGAGTTAAAAGAAAAAGCATATGAGAGAAATACAATAGCAAGAAATGAATTAAATAAGAATTGAAAACAAAATGATAAAATGTTCGTTACATACAGAAATGAATTGAATCATTCGTTTCTTCTTTTTTTTTTTTCCATTTAGTTTGTTTGGCCATAGAAGTTAGAGAGAAAGAGAAAATATTTTTAAAAAAAAGAATAAAATAAAATAAAAAAATAAAAAATAAAAAGGAAAAATACTTGCAACCAACCATTTTCATGTCAATGAATAATGACAGTTGAAAGTTTTCAAGCAGCAATAAATCTTGAATGGTAAAAAGTTTGGTATCTATCATCAAAGGTTTTTATTCAAGCATATGTTGGAATGTGAAATAATTGCTGTATGGTTTAAATTTAAACATTTCTGTTGAAATTTTGAAAATTTTAAAAAATTCAAAATTTTTCCAAAAAAAAAATGAAAATTTAAAAAATTATCATAAAAAGTGATCATTTAATTTTTCATCTTATAAATGAGCTAAACAATCGTAATTTTGAAAATTTTTGTATTTCACGCTAAATAAGCATGTCAACAAAAGAATTCCATGATCTTGCCGGAATTTATTTACGGAATACATTTACTGCATTGATCCGATATAATATACTCTCTTCCTAAATCAGCATGTCAAAAAAAGGATTCCATAATTTTGCCGGAATTTATTTACGGAATACATTTACTGCACTGATTCGATTTGTTATACTATCCTATACAAAAGAAAAAAAAATAAATTGCAATAATAATCAAAAAAATTAAGAAATAATAAAATGAATTAATTTGGTAACAAAAAAATAACGGAAAGGGGGAAAAATATGGGATAAAAATGATATTATCTAACTAAACAATATTAATTTTTTTTTTGATAAAAATTTTTGCAAAATTATCTTTTAATGATAATAAATTATATTCGATGATAAGGATAAATTTCAAATTATTTGCAAATTTTAATTAATAAATGGCTAAGATTTAAGCATATGAAAATATTTATATGAATTCATAGCAACTGTTAAGCTATTAAAAATGAATGTAAATTTCAGAGCAAAGGAATGATTTAATGATAAGAAGAAGAAGGATATTTAACATATCACCATTAATAGATAATTTTTTTAAAAATATTTCATCAATGTTTAATTGATGACGAAAATGTCCAATATGAAGTTATGCGACATATGCTTTCTTCATTTATTGAAATTGTGATGAAAGATCTTTTAATAAAACAATTTAATTAGACTTCATTAAAATGTTATCCAATTCATACGATTAACAAATAAATTCAAAATTTAGTATTAACTAAAATTTTTAGTTTTCCTTCATATCGAATATTTTACACTATTTTAGAATATTTTTTGAATATTGAAACTTAATTCAATTTTTTTTATTTTTTAAAATTATCTCTTCAAAAATAAAATTTGTAAAATACCATTTTAAAAATTGAAAATTAAATTTTTATTTTATCACAATTTCTAAATATAAAATGAAGGAAAGAAAGATACAATAAATATTGGCATCTATATTGCATAACTAATGGAAAATTGCTCATCTGATTACAGATGCGCTTACAATATGCGCACCGCGCATATTACACAAATACTCGCAAAAGTCCACGATGATCATTTATGGTAGAAAAAAAGGTTAGTAAAGAAATAATTCAAGCAAAACATCTGTTCACTGTTCATTCTTTCTCCCTTTATCATATTGATAATTGGGCGCATTGTACCATCAAAATTCTCTAAAAGCGCAATCAGCCAAAGGAAAAAAAAATTGGAAAAAAAAAGTTATACATTTTTTTTACAAAAAAAAAAAACTATAAATTACTATTTCATGGATTGTTAAATATTTTAAATTGTTTTTCATTAAAAATTACGAAAGAAAAAAAAAACATTCATCTTTTAATGTCCATTTCGGTAAAGAATTTCAAATAAATATCAAATTTTACTTTTATTGATTAATGACCACTAAATTTTACTTTTATTCATTTGTGACCACTAAATTTTACTTTTATTCATTTGTGACCACTAAAATTTTACTCCTACTTAAAAATTTTCCAGAAGTAAGTAATCCTATTTATGCATACATAAGAAGAAAAAAAAAACTTTAATAATAAATTTATATCAAAGTAAACTTGAGCATTTCTAACTTCATTTTAAAACCATACGTATAGGTCAATATTAGCCAATTTATTCCTCAGCAAATTTAATTAAAAAATTTATCAATGATTAGATATAGATATATTTTACTTAAAGATTTAACAAAAATTTTGAAAATTCGACCTTATCACTCAACAAAATCTTATCACTTTATCACTCAATTATTTGTTCACTTAATATTCCTTGCATATTAAATCAATTTCATAGCATATATTTGCATAAATTTCATTTATTTTTTCCATTTCTGAAAACATTCTATCATATACGATAAATATACCATTTTTTATTATGAAAAATATGAAAAATTTTGTTGAGATTTTTTAATTTTATTTGTCAAACTGATTGAATTGTTGGGTGTCACAGAAAAAAAAAAAAGAAAAGAAATACCTCAACAAGGAGAGGACAATTTACTCTATTATATTTATTCATTAAACTATAACAACAGTAATAATTACAATGATAGATACTGTATAGGTAGTACATAAGAAAACGATTACTGTATGAAGCATCTGTTACATTTATTAAAACGAGTTATGCTTAAGAATGGAACAACTAAGT